GAAAAACCGTGCCGTCGCGCGCTGCCTGGGCCAGGTCGTCCTGAGCAGCCTGTGCTGCGTGGGCCTCGGCTTCGGCTCGAAGGTCCGCTGCCTCTGCGTCTGCCATTGCATCGGCAAGACAGCGGGAGGCAGCTGTGGCGGGGGCCCCTGCACGGGACGTCAGCTCGGCCTCGGCTGGCGCTCGCCTGGGGCGGCGGGAGCCGCGAGGGCTCTTGCTGCGTGCCGCCTGCTTGCCTTCAAAATCTTCCTCGCTGATACCTGAAAGCGTGCGCTCGTCGGCCTGACCCGCGCGTGCGGATCTGCCCCTGGCCTGAGCGCTTGCGCTGCGGCGGGAGGATGCCATGGTGACTGGCCCCCCTTTATCATCAGAGAGGTCCCATCCGAGCTGGCTGGCAGAACGGGTAGGCGGGGGCAGTTCGTTAGGCTCCCCTACGGAGCCTGCTGCTGGGCTCGACTGGTTGGTAGTGGCCTCTCCTGGTGGCGCAGCGGTGGACGCCTCCCCTGTCGGCGTCTCGGGCACTGGCGCTGGCCCAGGCTTAGGCGCAAAACCTAGGCGGAAAAGCGGGCCCGCTCTGACGGGAGCGCGGGCTTGTTCAGAACCTGACGGCGCGGTGGCCCCCCCCCGGGGCGTGGCACCGTGGCTAGAGACGGCGGCTGGCACTAGTTGCCCGGCCTTGATCTGTGAGGCTAGGGTGTCTACTGCATTGCGCATGGCCTGGGCCTGGGAGTCAAAACTTGCCTTGATGGTGGCTACCTCCCTGGCCATGGCCTCGGCGTTGCTCTGCATGGCCGCGGCGAGTGAAGTGATGTAAGGCTGTTCCAACCCTTGGAAGCCTGGGAGGGGCGCGGGGCATTGGAGGAGCGGAGGGGAGGGCGGCGCGGCAGTGAGGGGCGTGGCCGTTCCTAGGTCGGGCGTGCCATCTCGATCCTCGCCCGCGTGCGATGCAGAGAGTGCCGCAGAGCGCTGTGCTGCCCCAGGCTCGTCCGCCGCCTCCCCCATCATGGGCGAATCAGTGATGGCAGCGACTGGCGGCGCCTGCGATTTGAAATAAGCTAGTAATGTAGATGCCTGGCTGAGGTCCGCTTGCGCGGTTTGAAGGGCCAGGGCGAGGTTGCGCACGTGCTCCTCTGCCTGAGCTTGCTTAGCAGCCAATTGCTCACAATCAGCATGCAGAGAGGCGACCACGTGCTCTTGCTCGCTAATCTTGGCTAGCGGATCCCTCGCATTGGCCAATTGAAAATTAACTAATGAAATCTCCTTACGGATCTCGGTGATACGCATATCGGAGTGTCCTAGGAGGGTTGAGGCCCTGAGCTGCAGGATCAGCGCATCCTTGCTCATGGCAAGGGCCTTGCGGTGCTCCAGCAGGCGGTCGGGCTCTAGCGGGGGATAAATCCAGGCTGAATGAGAGTGCGCCTCGTCTGGGGCGAGGATAGGGCATTGCGCTGTGAGCTCTGCTACTGAGAGCTCAGTGGCAGGATCCAACGCGCTCAGAGAGGAGAAGGCTTGGTCGGCCATGAGGAACGGAGACTGCTGCACAGAGGCAGGGCCGAAGAGTGCGGGGGAGGTGGCCTCACCTTCGGGAGGAGGCGCAAAAGGCGAAGGCTGCGACCGGGGAGACTGCCCGATGATTCCCGTGTCTTTGGCGCCGTGCGGGGTGCCAGGAGCCTTTGAGGCGGGCTGCCCCCCCTCGCTGCGCTGGGCCTCACGGGCCCTGCGAGCCTCGTCATTCTCCCGCTTCTTGCGCTCCTTGCTGGAGAACACTTCTGGCTGGACCGTGTGGTCTCCTGGGGGTGCGGGGAGTAAGCCGTACTCCGCTGCCCATGCAGCCACCTGGTCGAAAGATGGCGGATTTGACGGAGCATGGCCTTTGCCCATGTGTGCCCCACCCGTGCTTCCAGAAAAGGAGCGTGGGCCCTTGTGGCCCGGCCATGGGCCCGCACCTTGCAGGGGCTCGTGCTGCTCCTGACCTTTGGCGGGGCCGGGTGTCGCCTGCTGGGGTCCTGCCGCCCGAGTCGGAAAACAGGTGGGGCATGAAACGTCAAAAGTGGTATTGGCCCGGCCGCACTGCAGGCAATACCAAAGCTCGGGAGGGGCGCTGCCTTTCTGGTGCACTGGCTGCTGGGGGGGAGGAAAAAAGTCAGCAGGCAGGCGCGTGGCATATAGGGACGGAGAGGGAGGAGCAGCCATACGCTGCGTGGGGGAGGTAGCCATACCGTGCTGCTGCAGCTCTGACGTTGGCGAGAGAGGCGACGCGCGAGGCGGGGGCAAGGTCGTGGGGACAGCGCCTTGCTGCGGGAGGCCCTGGAAAGAGTGGTGGTGAGAGAGCATCATTGCGGCTTTATGCACTCTTAAAAGTGTGCGGGCGTTTGCGCGCTGTTTGCGCGCTCTGCGATGATGAGCGGGCTCGTCGCGAGGCCGCTGGGGGTAGGAGGGAGGAGAGTAAGCAGGCGTCGCGCCTGGCGGGTGGCGGCCCTTTCGGGCGTCGCGGCGGGGATCGGCGCGGAACCGGTTTGCAAACCGCTCGAGCCAAACCTGGAGGAGGGAGGAGAGAGGAGGGAGGAGGGAGGAGGAGGACGAGGAGCCCATCCTTACTGTGCGGGCTGACTGTACCACCTCGCGGTTCGAGCCGCGCGAGGCGCGGAGAGCGCTCGTCGTCGTCGCGCTCGCGCGCCACGCCCCTGAGGGAGAGGGCAGCGGTCCGCGGCCCAGACCGGGCTACGGGGGGGGCGCGGCTGCTCGTCGCGCCGCTGCGGGTGACCTCGAGAGAGCCATACAGAACGAGAGAGAAGAGAAACCGATCTAATAAAACAAACGAAGGCGCGAGAGAGAGGGAGAGAAAGAGAGAGAGAGAGAGAGCGACCGATGCATCTGTATATATGAGTATATGTAGACATGTGAATACAGAGATTACAGAGAGAGAGAGAGAGAGAGAGAAACAAAAAAAAAAAAAAAAATCGCTGGCCCAACGGGCCAGAAGCGTGCTAAGATCTCCGGTAACTGGTTAACAATATGTCTAGTTCGCGCGCGCGGAGCGGCCCCTGGGGGCCCCCGGACGAAAAGTACTCCAGCACGGTCCCTGGAGAAGCAACCACAGCATTCCAGGGGAGGGCCATTTTTCGACAACCCTCGCGAGGATCGTGGCCTCCGAGGGGGGAGCCGCAATCGACTACCCCCCATCCCGCCCCAAGAGGCCCCCAAAAGCCCCCCAAGAGGCCCTGGGGGCCCCCAAGACGCCGCCAAGGAGCCCCAAGAGACTCCCAAGAGGTCCCCAAGAGGCCCCCAAGAGGCCCTAAAGAGGGCTCCAGGGCTGGCGGAATGAGCGAAGCGACTAATAAGAGAGACAGAGAGAGAGAGAGAGAGAGAGAGAGAGAGAGAGAGAGAGAGAGAGAAAAAAAAAGGAGAGAGAGAGAGAGAGAGAGACAGAGAGACAGAGGAGGAGGCGGAGACATCGACGCGCAGAAACGTTCCGCCAGCGGGTGGGGTGGGGGGGCGCGGTCAGGCCGAAATCCCTCGGTGGGTTGTGCCGCCGTGTGTTCTGTTCCCCTGTCTCCGCTCCCAGACATCCAGCCGCTCCACTTCGTTCGCATGCGTGGGCCTCAGAGGTCCAGTCCGCTTCCCTAGGGCGGGCATTTCGTCCTGAGCCACCGTCTCAAAAAGTCCCGCGGCCCGGCGAGAGGGCCGCCGAAGCCCGAAAACGGTCAAGACCCGCCGCTCCAATTTCGGGGAGTGTCGGATCTCTGGGTCTGTCTTCTCTGGGAGGAGCGCATCGCCGATACCTCGGCGATGTATCGGCGATGCACCTGCTGTTGCAAGCGCGAAGAAAATCTGGTTCCGCATAGAGCCGCAGCGCCGATGCATCGGGGATGCGGCGCGATCCGCCGACCCCATCTGCTCCGACCCCATCTAGGATCTGGCGCTGGTAGAACTGGGCTTAGTGGAACCTGGTTTAGTGACCTGTACCGGGAGCGACCCCCCGTCCCATGTCCCCTTACCCGGGGTCCTGGCCATACCCGATAGGAGGCCTGGAGGAGTGTCCTCGGGCGGACAATCGAGAGGCGGTGCCGGCACCCTCGCAGCCCCACGGCCCCCGCGCCGGGCGCGCAGCCGCTCGCGGGGCCCTCCTGCAGAGCGGCGGCGGCGCCGATCATCGCTCGTCGCAGGAAGCCGGCACTGAGACCTGGGCGCGGCGCCCGGGCGAAGCCGTGGAGTCGCTGTCGGCGGGCCTCCCCCCGAGGTCCGGCGCTCCGAACAAAAATGGGAGCGGCGGGCTCTTGGCCGCGTTGGGCCTCCGGGAGCCCTCGCTGGGCCTCGGTGCCATCAGAAACGACGCAGGAGGAAACACCGCCCCAAGGGAGAAGGTCGCATGTGAAAGATTAGGGAGACAGGTGTCTGGCCCTGTCCGTCCGCCTCTCTACCTGCCCTGTGGCGCCTCTTCGTCCTGCTTCGTATCATCCCTCCTTCTCTTCTGACTATCTGCACGACATCATGAGCACCATGATGATGAGTGCATGACATGGTATTCACCGATGATGTAGAAGAAGGAAAAAACGACACAAACATAAACTTGTGGTGCTCTGCGCGAATTTCTTGGATCTGCGCTGGACCCCGTCCCTGGCGCGCGGAGCGCGCCAGGGGCGGCGCCAGAGGCGCCGCCGGGAGGCGCCGCCGGGAGGCGCCGCCGGGAGGGGCCCAACGCGGATCCAGGAAACCCGCGCGGAGCGCCCAAAATCTTTGTTTATGGCGTGTTTTCTTCTTCGATATCTGCACGAACGACATCATGAGCACGATGATGATGCCTGCACGACATGATTCGACGAGCGCGTTCCACGACTCGCAAAGTAATTATTCACAAATGGCCTGGATCCGCCGCGGGGGATCTACAAGAAATGGCATGGAAGCAGACATGTGTTTTCCGGACGCTTGCGAGTGGGCTCTTTGCGAGTCGTCGAACGCGCTCGGTGAATGAGATCCATCCCTTCTCGTCCCGCCTTCTGTCCCTCTTGCATTGGAGCCCTGGAGGGCAGGGAGGCTGCCAGTCTGCAAAAAGCACGCAGTTGCGCAGGGCAGCCGCGCGCGAGCAGGCCAGGAGCAGCCTTCGGCGGCGAACGCCAAAAGGCATCTGGCGCTCCATACCGGAAGGGACGTCGACGAGTGAGCGAGGCAGGGAGCAGAAAATCCACCCTCATAACACGATGGGGGCATTGGGTAAGGAAACCGTTGCTAAGGGATCCTGGGTGTGGAATCCGGCGGAGCTCCAATCGTGGATTGGCCATGGATATCACCACCGCCCTCATCAGATAAGGAACCCTCCAGGGTCTGAAGCCTCCTGGGCACGTTCCTCAACGAACGCCCCCACCGTAATCACCCCGACACGCGAAACCGTTTCGTAAACGCACCCAGAGAAGGAATCGAACAGGGAAGGGCTGTTTATTTGCAAACGCCCCAGGCCTTTTCGTGAACGCCAATTATCGGGTCTGGGTGGTTTTTCCTCCTTTGATGAGGGGGTGGTGCCAAGGGGCTCTGCATTTCATCGGCGGGCGCTGGTGGCGGATGATTGGCTGAGGGGCGCCGTCGGAAAGCACTTCTGGCTCTGGGGATGGCTCAGGACGACCTCCGCAACTCAGGCGTGTCCAGCAATGTGTCTGGTGCCGCCACCCACCGACCCAGACAACCCCTCTAGAGGAACAACAAAAAGGCATAAACATAATTTTTCGCCGGTCCGCGCGGATTTCTTGGATCTGAGCTGCACCCCCGTCCCTGGCGCGCGGAGCGCGCCAAGGGCGGCGCTGGAGGCGCCGCCGGGGGGGCCAAGCGCGGATCCAAGAAATCCGCGCGGAGCGCCAACAGTTATGTTTATACCGTGTCTACTTCTTCGACTCCCACACCCCAATTGTTCCAATGCGCGTGCCCACGCGCTCTCAACACATTGTTGCCCGGGACAAGCTTTCTGACCTACGCCATCCAACTTCGCGCAGCGCGCAGTTCTCTTCGCGTCCTCGCGAGGCCCTCCTGGAGAGACTGGCAGCTCTCTCAGCTCCAGGCCGCGAAGCGCGAAGCGCAAGTATGTTCGCGCCGCTGGAAGTGACCTGGTGGCTGACGGCCCAAGCGCCAAGAGATGGCCTCTGATTAACCAACAACGGATCCCTAATCCTTTGGCAGGGGGCCTAAGTTAGGAGGGCCAAGAACACTAAGGATAGGAGCTCTCTTCTGCAGATGTATCGAGCTGAGCCGCCCAGAACGATTATCCCAAATGCGCAAAGACGGGGACCTCAGCGAGGCCACGTGTTCATCGTGTTGTTAGGATTAGGGCTTCATTTATTCTCGATGCATCACGTTCGCGCCGTCGGGAATGACCTGGTGGCTGACCTGACGGCCCCAGCGCCAAGAGATGGCCTCCCCGCGCCGAAGACTTTGAAAGAATCCGGCCTGAATGTTGTCTCAAGACGTCTGAAGCCTTGAGACCGGGCCGAGGCAGGTCCAGCCCTGGCGGGCAAGCCACGCTGCAGGCCACCTGGGCCCGTTGGCAACGCTCGACCCTCCCCACCGGCCCGTTGACGGAGCATCTGCCCGGAAGCTCCAAACGTCCAGGAACTCCAGGGATGCCCGGACGACCTCCAGAGCACCCCTCTCGAGGCCACAGCGTCTGAGCTGGCGGGACAAGCTGGGGGGCTCCCTGGGCCGGGATCGCGCCTGGCAACCTTCGAACCAATCCTAGACGCCCACTGTGGAGGACAAGCAACTCCAGGGAAAGGTGGTCGAAAGACCTCACGGGTGTTTCAGTCTCCGCGCCGCCCGGCGCGCGCCTCCCGCTCCCCAGGCGGTTGGCCAGGCTGGCAGCGGGGGGCGCGCGCACTGCGCGAGGCCCGTAGGACGAAAATCATGTCGTGATGCGGTTGGGTCAGGCTACGTTCCAGGAAGTCCGAAGTATCCAGTGGGCCTCGTCTCTGCAGCCCGCGTGCACCACTGGGAAGTCCTGGAGGCCTGGAAATCTGAAAAATCTTGGAGCGTATCATATCCTCGTGCTGGGCAGGAGGAGGATGGGCGGAGGAGGAGGAGGACCACACCATCTCCCACTCCTCCTACCACAGCCCCTTCCTCCCCATGCGCACCACGCGAGACCCGTAACGCATAGGGAAGGAGAAGGACCTGGATGGGCGGAGGAGGAGGACCCCCCCTTTCTCCCACTCCTCCTTCCCCCCCCCCCCTCCTCCCTGGCGCCCGACACTGGCGGCCGCCCCGTCGCTCGCGCGAAGCTCGTGCTCGGCACGCGAAGTTAAGACAAAGCGTGCGCCCCAGGAGGAAGACTGACGAGAGGGGGAGAGAGGAGAGGGAAACGAAGCGAAGCGAAGCGAAGCGAAGCGAAAGCTGGAGTCGTGCGCGTCCTCCACTCGAGACCCCGCCCGTGCCCGTGCGGGCATGGCGTGGAGGCCGCGGCCTCGAGCAGGTGAGTGCTGTACCTGCCCGTCGCTGCCGCGAGGCGCGCCTGCCGACACACGGCGCACGAGTCACGGGGAGGAGATGGGGAGGACAGGCTGAGGGACCTGTCCGCGAAGCCAGGCGGTGACGGCAGCGGGGACAACTTCCCCAAGCTCCCGATTCGCACTGTCATCCACGACAGCATCGGCGGATGGATGCAGCAGACGCGCCCGAAACGAGAAGAGTGCGCGCCACAGGCGCTGGCTTTGTCTGAGGCGCGGCTCTCACCCTCCGCCAACTTCCTCTGTGCAAGTGTGCGGAGAGACAGGCTGGATGGGAAGCCGACGCAATACTCCATGCTCTGATCCGCGAGAGCACCAGAGCACTAAGACATCAGTAGAAGAATGATAACGTCATGAACATAAACTTTCGGAGTTCCGCGCGACTTTTTTCGATCCGCGCTGGACCCCCCTCCCTGGCGCGCGGAGCGCGCCAGGGGCGGCGCCGGAGACGCCGCCAAGGGGCCCAGCGCCGATCCAAGAAATCCGCGCGGCGCTCCAACGTTCATGCCTGCGCCGTTCTCTTCTCCTTCGAACGAAGCGCCAGGACAAAACTTCTGCCGAGAACTCCTCTGAGTTCTGCTCTGCGCGTGCCTACTTCGGGAGTGGCCGAAACGACCCCTAGCAAATCATCCCCTTCCGTGACGTCCTCTTCCTCCTCCTCCTCCTCCTCCTCCTCCTCCTCCTCCTCTCCTCTCCCCCTCCCCCTCCCTCCCTCCTCCTCCTCCTCCTCTCCTCCTCCTCCTCCTCCTCCTCCTCCTCCTCCTCCTCCTCCTCCTCCTCCTCCTCCTCCTCTTCCTCCTCCGCCTCCTCCTCCCCTAAACGACCCCTAGCAAATCATCGACCTCCCCTCCGGTCGCATACACACGTCTTGGGGCGAGGCGAGGGGCACGTCGCGGAAAGGGAGGGTCTGCCAGGGGTCGGTCACGCCGCCCCTGACTACTGCGCCACTGGACGGCGCATGCTACCAGGCCTAAGCTGCCCGCGGGGCCCTGAGCAAGGGCTGGGCACTGCGCCGGAGACTTGTTCCACGACCTCCTCGACATCCCCGTCCTCCCTGCTCTTCCTCTTCTCCGCCTGCCCTCCTCCTCCTCCTCCTCCTCCTCCTTCCTCCTCTTCCTCCTCCTGTTCCTCCTCCTCCTCCTCCTCCTCCTCGTCCTTCCCCCTCCTCTTCCTCCTCCTCCTCCTCCCTGCTCCTCCTCCTCCCTGCTCCTCCTCCTCCCTGCTCCTCCCTGCTCCTCCCGCTCCTCCCTGCTCCTCCCTGCTCCACCCTGCTCCTCCCTGCTCCTCCTCCTCCTCCTCCTCCTTCCTCCTCCTCCTCCTCCTACTCCTCCTCATCCTCCCTGCTCCACCCGCCATCCTCCTCCCTGCTCCTCCTCCCTCGCCTCGTCCTCTCGGGAAGCAGAACAAACAAGGACAAGAGCATGAAGACTGTGAGGTCCGCGCGGACTTCTCGGATCGTCGCTGGGGCCCCCTGGCAGCGCCTTCGGCGCCGCCCCGGGCGGCGGAGGCGCCCCAGGGAGGGGGGTCCAGCGCCTATCAAAGAAAGCTGCGCGGACCTCAGAGTTTTTATGTTTCCTGCATTATTTATTACCCGATCCTCTGTCCTCAATTACTGCCGGGTTGAGCTGCCACAACCGTAGCAACTGGGGCGCAACTGTCGCCAACCTGTCCCGATATCCCTGTGATCATACGGTTGGTCGCCTACGTAGGTATCACGGGGCATCTGCGCAAATATCTGAATATCTGGATGCCAATGTCAGTGTCACACGTGTCCTGTGGACTGGTTTCGAGCAGGAGCTCGGGAATCCGAATGTCGAGTGAAATACTGCTGCCGCGGTGAGCAACCCCCAACCACATACCTCACGATGGGAACACTTCCAGCACTAAAACGCAGCCAAGAACGGGACAAGATCAGACCGGGATACTTTGGGGATCTCTGAGGTACGGCGGTCCTGGAGGATGTATTGGGCGCCGAGGCCGTTCCAGAACGCTCTGAGAACGTTCCCGACTGCTCTGGAACGATCTACCGCTCTGGAACGATCTATCCAGGTCCTGGCACCGCCCGTAGCACGCAGCCCGTCGCAGATGAATTGGCGTCGGCCTCTGGATCTTGAAGCATTCGACTGCAGCTGCGATACCCGTCCGCACCGAGGGCCCACAGCAGCACACCGCGCCCTCAATGAAGCCGCCTGCGAAGTCGCAAGAACAGCACCGCGATCGCGGCCAGGAGCAACATCCACTTCCTCCAGACGGGTTGAGGGGAACGATAGGGGAAGACCAGCTCAGGGGGGAAGCATCGAGCTCGAATCAACGATGCATCGCCGATAGATCGGCAACACCGGCCCCCGATGGCGAAACCGCACATTCCTGGCTGGCGTGGGCTCTCTCGGGCCTCCACCGGCGATGCATGGCGATTGGAGGTCGGTGCATCCCCCGCTGGGCCTGCCCCCGACAACTTGCACATGACAAGCCCCCCGAGCGGGGCCAACGCAGTCAGAGAAGAACACGACCCCTGGCGAGTGCACCAACCACAACCACTCTGAGGGAGACGCTTCGTGGTGTGGTGGCCGCGGTCACGGTGGGGCCGATGGAGGCGGAGGTGGAGGTGGAGGAACGAGCGGACGTGAAAAAAGAGGATGGGGAGGCAGAGGTAGTGTGTTGCGTCTGTCAGCAGGTGCGGTTGGGCACCGCACCCTCTCTTTGGACGGTGCGTCTTTCGACACCCGTGCAGGGCCTGCTGACCACAGGGCTGACAAAGCAGAGCGGCGGGCATGCGCCCGCAACCACCCGAGTCTGGGGGCTGGGCCACTTCCGCTGCGACAGCCTTCCTGCCTTGACGGCGTGGGCCCCGGCCTCTGCCACCGCACCACCGCTGGGGACGCTCTCGACCGCATCCCTCGCTCGGTCGGACCTGGGACACGAGAACACCTTCCAAGAGCACGAGAACCTCCGCCGGCCAAGACACCCCAGACCATGAGATCACTCGAGGGTACCCTCCTCTAGGATGTGCAAGATCACCCAACTAACACGAAGAACAACCGGACGGCACGGGTTCCTTAGCCGTGGCTTGCTCTCTGCAGGAGAGCCTAGAATCGAATCGATAAGTCGGATCGGCGATCGAAATGAATCGGATCGGCGGATATTGGCAGCCGAGTCGGGGAAAGTCGAACCAGCGAAAATCGGCAGGCTAGTATGCGTCCAATGAGAACTCGGAACCCAACTTGGAATCCAAAGTCGAATCGAAGCGGAATCGGAATCCATCGAAATCGAATCGAATCGAATCGGATGAGACGAAACGAGCCCTGTCTCCGTGCGGCCCCCAGGGTCCGCAAACCGAGCCCGAGCCCGCGCAGAGGGTGCACGGGCCCCCGAAGTCGCGCGTGCCCAGGCGGCCCTTGCGCGCCGCAAAGGGCGGCGCGAGCCTGCCGAGGGACCCCCGCCCGCGCGGACAGTCGATTCCGCGACCCCCCCGCCCAGACAAGCTTAGCCTCCTCCCTCCTCCCTCCTCCCTCCTCCTCCTCCCTCCCTCCTCTCCTCCTCCGTCCTCCCTCCACCTCCTCCTCCTCCTCTCCTCCCTCTCCTCCTCTCCTCTCCTCCTCATCTTCTCCTTCCTCCTCCGTCCTCCCTCCTCCCTCCTCTTTCCTCCTCCTCCTCCTCCTCCTCCTCCTCCTCCTCCTCCTCTGGCGCGCTCCAGGGGGGGGCTCTCACGCACGGCAGGGGGGATGCCGATCCCTCTCCCAGGCCTCGTGGGTCTTCAAATGGGGCCAGGACTCGGGGGCCCAACCCTGGGATATGATATCTATACATAAATATATATATATATATATACATACACGATGGGGGGGGCGCCCATGCTCGATATGGGGTGCGTCCGAATAGCCCCCTTGGGGTGTAGTCATCCCAGGGTTGCCCCTGATTCCTGAACGGCCAAGCTTTTCGGGCGGACGTCGGGGGCTGGGGGAGACAACTCGCCTGCGACTGCACGCATCCATAGGCCACAGCACGGAGTCACATTCGGAGCGCCCACTCGGAGCATCGGCGGCGCTCGCAGGGTGGGCCTCCAACAAAAAAACACGAGGCTTGCAAGCCTTGCAGGGACCACTGGCAGCGGCGCCCAGCCAGCGAGGTCTCCCCACAGGCGGGTGGCGGTCGGCGGACGACGGTGGACGGCGGACGGACGACGAACGACGAGCGAAGAGCGACGACGGCCACGAACACCACGGCGACGACAACGACGACGGCGGCGACGACAGACGGCGGCGACGACGACAGATGGCGGACAAACGACGAACGACGAGCGAAGAGCGACAACGCCCACGAACACCACGGCGACGACAACGACGACGGCGGCGACGACAATGACGGCGACGACAGACGGCGGCGACGACGACACACGGCGGACGAACGACGAACGACGAGCGAAGAGCGACGGCGGCCACGAAGACCACGGCCACGACAACGACGACGGCGACGACGACAGACGACGGCGACGACGACAGACGGCGGACAAACGACGAACGACAAGCGAAGAGCGAAGACGGCCACGAAACACCGCGGCGACGACAACGACGACGGCGGCGACGACAGACGACGGCGGCGACGGACGACGGCGACGACGACACACGGCGGACAAACGACGAACGACGAGCGAAAAGCGACAACGCCCACGAACACCACGGCAAAGACAACGACGACGGCGACGACGACAATGACGGCGAAGACAGACGGCGGCGACGACGACGCACGGCGGACGAACGACGAACGACGAGCGAAGAGCGACGACGGCCACGAACACCACGGCGACGACAACGACGACGGCGGCGACGACAGACGGCGGCGACGACGACAGATGGCGGACAAACGACGAACGACGCGCGAAGAGCAACGGCCACGAACACCACGGCCACGACAACGACGACGGCGGCGACAACAGACGACGGCGACGACGACAGACGGCGGACAAACGACGAACGACGCGCGAAGAGCGACGACGGCCACGAACACCACGGCGACGACAACGACGACGGCGGCGACGACAGACGACGGCGGCGACGGACGACGGCGACGACGACACACGGCGGACAAACGACGAACGACGAGCGAAAAGCGACAACGCCCACGAACACCACGGCGACGACAACGACGACGGCGGCGACGACAATGACGGCGACGACAGACGGCGGCGACGACGACACACGGCGGACGAACGACGAACGACGAGCGAAGAGCGACGGCGGCCACGAAGACCACGTTCACGACAACGGCGGCGGCGGCGACGACAGACGACGGCGACGACGACAGACGGCCGACAAACGACGAACGACGCGCGAAGAGCGACGACAGCCACGAACATCACGGTCACGACAACGGCTGCGGCGGCGACGACAGCGTCGGCGACGACGACAGACGACGGACGAACGACGTCCGACGCGCGACGACGAACGATAGACGACGACGACAAGGAACGACGCCCGAGCACAAACAAATAAAAAACGGACGACGACGAGGACGACGAATGACAAACGACGATAGACGATTACGACGAGCGACGACGAAATACAACGAATGAGCGACGACAAGCGAAAAACGAGCGACGACGAACGATGACGCACGACGAAGGGCAAACGACAAGCGAGCACGACGACATCTTTCTCCGATGTGGCCCGACGAGCGAAGTCGTTTAGTAAACGCAGCCAAAGAAGGAATCGACATACGCAACAAAAACTGTTGGAGGTCCGGAGCGCGCCGGGGGCGGCGCCCGAGGCGCCGCCAGGGGGCCCCAGCGCAGATCCAAGAAAATCCGCGCGCAGAGCCAACAGTGTATGTTTGAGGCGTTGTTCGAGCGCATTTCTTTCTTTTCGGCGATCATGGGCGTTATAGGGGGGGACCAGGGGGGGGGGTATAATGTAACGCCTCCCCCCCCACCTTGCGCACGTTGGCAGTGCCCAAAGCGCACTGGGGGGGAGGGGCGTTACGTTATAGGGGAGAGGGTGTGGCCGGGGGCTACAATGCCCATCATGCCTCAAGCAAGAGAGGAACACGCTCTTCTTCTTCGATGCTCGAGCAAACGCCCAGGGCCGCTGATCCTCTCTCCTCCTCCTCCGAGCTCGGGAGGCGGGCCCTGGGGCCCCTGCCCAGCTCTTCGCCCCCCCCCCCCCCCTCTCGGCGACGGGGGAGGAGGAGGAGGACGAGGAGGAGGAGGAGGAGGAGAAGGAGGCGGATGATGATGATGATGATGATGATGATGATGATGATGATGATGAATGATGATGATGATTGATGATGATGATGATGATGATGATGAGGAGAGGAGGAGGAGGAGGAGGAGGAGGAGGAGGAGGAGGAGGAGGAGAGGAGGAGGGGAGGAGAGGGAGGAAGGGGGAGGGAGGAGGAGGAGGAGGAGGAGGAGGAGGAGGAGGAGGAGGAGGAGGCGGAGGAGGCGGAGGAGGAGGAGGAGGAGGAGGAGGATGAGGAGGAGGTGTGAGCCCACCCGCGAAGGCCCCCCGCCGGGGCAGACCCTCCGCCGGCGCGGCGCGGCTCGGCCCGCCGCGCGGGCCCCCCTGCAGGCCCCATCGGCACGCGGAGGGGGGCCCTGCACGCCTCGACCCCGTCCTCCTCCTCCTCCTCCTCCTTCTCCTCCTCGGCCTCCTCTTCCTTCCTCCTCCTCCTCTCCTCTCCTCCTCCTCCTCTCCTCCTCCTCCTCTTCCTCCTCCTCCTCCTCCTCCTCCTCCTCCCTCCTCGCCCTCCCTCCTCGCCCTCCCTCCTCGCCCTCCCCCTCGGGGGGGGGCCCGACAGAGCAGGGCAGCAAAGGGCAGGGTTCGGGGATCAGCTCGCGTACTGTCTGTCCTCTTGGGGCTGGACAGACCTCCCTGTAGCAAAACGCGGTTTAGTGGAAGCGACCTGAGGCCCAAACCTGGCGGGCGCAGGCCTGGAAAATAGCGGCCGCGGCGCCCTCTCGAGAACCGAAAACGGACAATTCACTAATCGACGTGTCACTGTTGGGGGTTCTGTCCACCCCCGATCCTCCCTGGGGCGCACAGAGACGTGCAGGTACTGCCTGTCCTCCTGGGAGGCGCGCGCGTCTCCGAAACGAACGTGCAGTAGACCCCTCCTGTAGTATGTATACATATATATATATATATATATATATATATATATCGCTTCCCGGGCGGTGTGGCCAGAAAGCGCCCGCCACGACGCATGTACTATAAGATTTCTCGGTGCGCGCGTCGCTCCTGGGGGGGGGGGTAGGCGACGCACATATATTATAAGTATGTTGGGGTGACGCCGAGGCCAGTCCACAGTGGGCCAGAAAACAAACGACACAACCCCACCTACGGCCCGACGGGCCGCAGCGTATACCAGGACATCTGGCGTGGTGGTTGCATGGTATACGCTACGGCCCCCGATGGGCCGTAGCGCAACGTGGAGGGCCGTAGGTGGGGTGGTGTCGTTTGTTCTTAGGCCGACACGCGAAACCTTCCACAAGAAGCCCAACCCTGAGACCCCAGGACGTCCACTGATGTTTGCAGTGGGAGCGTCGCGCCGCCCACTGCAAAACCATCGAAACCCAAGACACCCTGGGCACCCTGGAGGCAAGCAGGGTGTTTCTTGGCATGGGCCCCCACTGTAGCTGCTCTTCCTGGTACCGGGAGGCGACCATGTATCGAGGAAAGCGTCTGGCGGTGGGGCCGACACCAGCTGCACGCAGCAGATGTCGTAGCCCCCCCTTTCCCGTTCCCCCTCCTATCGTCCAGCCCGACCCGTCCCCAAGACCAGCTTTCCATCCTGCATCCTCCTTTGGATAGCCATGGGGCCCCTTGAGGTAAGACGACGCCAGGACGACGATAAAATCGGATGAGGATGAACCGAGAATCTCTGAGATCTGGCGGCTCTGGAGGCTGTCTCGGGCACCGCGGCCTTTCCAACGTGTTCCGGAACGCTCTGAAAGCGTTCCGGAACGCTCTGGAACGGGTTTACCCTCGTCCTGGCCCCGTCCGATGAGGGCACCCGAGAAGCCCAAATGGCAAAACGAAGTCGGTGATGCGTGTGTTTCACGACGCTGGGAGGCATGGAAAGTCCAGCCAAGAACCTGTCTGGAGACACGTTCTGGTCCCAAGGCTCGAAGGGGGATCCAGCCATGGTCCAAAGTAGCCTCCCCAAAGGCCCCCCGGAACGTCCGAAGAGCCAGTCTAGAGGAAGACGAAACCGCAAACACATAAACACTTGGAGGTCCGCGCGGATTCCCTGGATCTGCACCGAACCCGCTCTGCCTAGCGCGTGGAGCGCGCCAGGGGCGGCGCCGGAGGCGCTGCCAAGGTCCTCCAGCGCGGATCCAAGAAATCCACGAGGATAGGGCGGCGGAATCTGTACATAACCGCTGTTCCATGGCCAGGCCCGGCCTGAACCCGGCAGCGGCGTATACGCCACGCCCTCCTGGCTTGGCCAGGAGGGCGCATTCACAGGGTCCTGGGTTCAGGCTGGGCCTCGCCAGGGAGCAGTTGATATGCATAGATCTCGTCGCCCGAGAGGAGCTCCAGAAGTGTATGTTTATGCAGTTGTTCCTTCTTAGGCAGTCCTGAGGCGGCTGGCCGGTCGCCCCTTTGGCCGCTAGCGGGTCTCCTCCTCCTCCTCCTCCTCCTCCTCCTCCTCCTCCTACTCCTCCTACTCCTCCGCCCGCGCCTCCTCCTGCCTCTTCCTCCTCCTCCTCCTCCTCCTCCTCTATCCTCCTCCTCCTTCCTCCCTACTCACCTCCTCCCCTTCTCCTACCTCCTCCTCCTCCTCCTCCGCCTCCCTCCTCCTTCCTCCTCGCCTCCTCCTCCTCCTCCTCCTCCTCGTCCTGCCTGCTCCTCCTCCCACCTCCTCCTCCTCGTCGTCCCTCCTCCTCCTACTCCTCTTCTCCTCCCCCCCTCCTCCTCCTCCTGCTCCTTCTCACCCCTCCTCCTCCTCCTCCTCCTCCCCCCCCCCTCCTCCTCCTCCTCCTCCTCCTCCCTCCTCTCCTCCTCCTCCTCCTCCTCCTCTCTTCCTCCTCCTCCTCCTCCTTCTCCTCCTCCTCCTCCTCCTCCCCTCCTCCTCCGCTCCTCCCGCTCCTCCTCCTCCTCCTCCTCCTCCTCCTCCTCCTCTCCTCCTCTCTCCTTCCTCCCCCTCCTCCTCCTCCTCCTCCTCGCCCTCCTCCTCCTCTTATTCTTCGCCCTCGATCGACGAGGCTCGACGAGCCTCGAGCCTCGAGGGTGTGTGGGGGGGGGGGGGAGCGGCCGCCGGAGGCCGCCCCGAGGGCCGCGGAGGGCCCCGCCAAGACGCGCTCCCCAAGGGCGGCGATGCGCCGCCCGCGCGCGCGCACGCGTCCTGCCGCCCTGGCCGCACCTCGGAGGCGGCCGTCGTCGTCGTCGTCGTCGTCGTCGTCGCTCGTCGCTCGTCGCTCGTCGTCGTCGTCGTCGTCGTCGCTCGTCGTCGTCGCTCGTCGTTCGTCGCTCGTCGTCGTCGTCGTCGTCCTCGGCGCTCGTCGTTCGTCGTTCGTCTTCCGTCGTCGTCGTGCCCGTCATCGCCTTTGGCCGTCCGTCATAACCGTCAACGTCGTCGTCCGTCGTCACCATTGTCGCTCGTCGTTGGTACATGGTCGCCCGTCATTCGTCAGACGTGGGGGAGCAGGAGCGGTCGTCGACAGCGCGGGGAAAGAAGAGGAGAGGGAGAGGGATGGGTGGAGGGAGGCGGAGAAGGTAAAATGGGGAGGAGCAGTAGGGGGATTAGGAGGAGGAGGAGGAGGAGGAGGGGGAGGAGAAGGAAGGCGGAGGATGAGGAGCAGAAGGCGGAACGAGGGGAAAAGCGAGGAAGGAAAAGGAGGAGGAGGAGGCAAAATGAAAAATGATGGGGTGGGGGGAGGAGGAGGAGGAGGAGGAGGAGGAGGAGGAGGAGGAGGAGGAGGAGGAGGAGGAGGAGGAGGAGGAGAAGGAGGAGGAGGAGGAGGAGGAGGAGAAGGAGAAGGAGGAGGAGGAGAAGGAACAAGAGGAGGAGGAGGAGG